TGCCACACTGTCCCCAACCACGAAAGGTCTCGAAACTACCCTGCACTAGGGCCTACACCAAGTGAAATGTTACACTACACAAAGTATTGTAACTATCTTCAATATCTTGAGGTGTAACCTTTTGGCGAGCTTCGAAATCACTTGAGGCTTGACACCAAGGCTCGGGCTCTTCATCACAAACTCATCCTTGAGTTCTTGATGGGTCTGCTGCACACACCTGCAACACACCGAACGTTCGACACACGACAAAATAGAAACCGCGCACGACAAAAATAAAAACCGCGCGCGAGACACAAACGACTGCGTAACACGCGTCTAGCGATAACTCGCTATTAACTCGACACACACACTCGACATCATGACTCTACATTCACACACAATTATAAGCATGAAATATATATTATCCCATGCCCTCATACCATTCCATACACACACACATGCACGCACACGGACAACAAGCCGAGTGCAAACCGTAGGGTTGCACCAACAAAAACACTTCACTAAAAGCTTCCGCTATTACATTATCCCTACCCAGAGTTTAGTCCTGTAAAGATCCTAAGGGCTTTTTCTCAGCCCAACATCTCTGTGTTCTCACAAGTACTCACACTGTGGCTACCGGGCGCAGAGCTCCGGACTACACGGCCACAGAGGGTCGTGGCTCTCTGGACTACCAGGAATGCTCACACTCTGGCTACCAGGCATAGAGCCCCGGACTACACGGCCACAGGGGGTCGTGGCTCTCTGGACTTCAGGCGCTGCGGCGGACAAGTCGGCTACCTCCGGTCAACCTCCCCCAACTGCCCCGCACCCCTTTCACACACTCCTTGCTGAACCTCTAGCACTGCTCACACGCCACCCCCCTCATACCACTCCGACGGCTCCAACACATCCACCCCCCTCAGCGGCAGCTGCAGCAGTGGGAGACGGAGGAGGAGGAGCAGGGGACTGCTCAAACACCCGGCACCCCCATACTCTCCACCCCCAAACCCTAACACAGGAGTGCGGGCAGCAGCGGGGGTGGGGCGCGGTCAGAAGCTCGGGGGACGGCGTGCGGCACTAGGGCAGACTGCCCGGGCCGCGCGCGGGCCTGGCGCAGGTCGTACGGGCCGCGCGCGGGCCTGGCGCAGCCCGTACGGGTCGCGCGCGGGCCTAGCTCAGCCCGTACGGGCCACGCGCGGGCCAGGCGCAGGTCGCGCGGGCTGCGTCGGGCGACGCGCGGGTCACCGAGGCAGGAAACCGCCGCGCGCTCCCAGGGCGCGCGGCGGGCAGGGCAGAAAACCGCCGCGCGCAACGCTGCGCGCTCCGAGCGCACGCCAGGAAGAAAACAGCGCACGCCCGGGGCGCGCTACAGGCAGTAGAGCAGCGGAAGCATTGGGTGGGGCCCACCCACGGGATCGACCCAAGAGGGTCGACCTGCTCTGATAGAATGTCGAAATACTAGGCAAGAATCTGAAACAGGAAAGAGGGGTTTTGACTAGCAGCAGTCGAGATACATATAGGAAACCCTAATTTAGTTGTACTCGCTATAGAGTACCCACTGCATGCTAGACAAACATCACATTCTGACATTAAGAGACTTAGGAGAAAGGTGATCAATTAGGTCTAGAATGGGGTACAAACAAGAGTGTCGAGGTGAGTCCCGTACCGCCTAAGTCTAGCCCTTATATAGCCTAGACAAGTTAATACAAATATACCTTGACACACTCCCATAGGCGAAGTGGGGGATAGCTAGAGCAAACAATGGTCACAAGACCGGTCAAGAGAAGAGCAAAGCAAAAGCAAGCTCAGTGTGGATCACAAAGTCACCACACACTCTGAGTACAAGCAAATGGCCACAAGGCCGGTCCACATGCAGAGTTATATAAAAGACAGCAAACAGTATAGTGATCACTATCTAGCAAGAGTAGGTATACTGGTATATTTAGGTCACAGTACAAGCAATATCAAGCAGTGAGCATGTGAGGCAAAACAGGAACAAGGCCTAACACAGTACAAAAACGCTGATGATCACAAATCTTAAGTGCCTTGGTGAATATATCAGCACTGTTGGCCCGAATGGCCACGTAACCAAGACGAAGCTGACCACGCTGCTGCAACTCTCGAGCAAAGAAGTAGCGCAGAGACATGTGCTTCCTTCTGTGCTCTGGTCTGTGCTCCTGACATAAGGCAATCGCAACCTTCTTGTCTACGTATAGAGTTTGTGGAGAACGAGGCCGCTCTCCCAAGTCGGACAGCAGGTAGGTGAGCCAACGTAACTCCTGTGCAGCCATGGCTGTTGCGTAGATCTCAGCCTCACGATTGGAGCTGAGAATAGAAGACGAGCGGGTAGACCGCCAACAAACAAAGCCGGAGCCAAGGCTGAACGAGTAACCCTGAGACGACCGCTGCGTAGTCAGATCGTCAACCCATGAAGCGCCTGAGTGTCCAGTGATCACAACTGGACCCCGCCCTCCAAGCACGAGCCCCATGCCCAATGTACTGCACAAGTAACGCAGTACCCTCTTAGAAGCATCGAAGTGCACCTTTCGGTGCCTACCAGGAACAACGTAGCATGTCAGAAGGCCAAGAGGGTACGCAAGGTTAGGACGAGTGCAGGTCAGCAGGTACATGAGGCAGCCCACTAGCTCTGGGTACGGGCCACTCGACTCTACGAACTCGTCCGAACGTGGAGCTGAGAGCGAGTGACTGGTAGCCAGAGGAGTGGACTGTGGCGAGGACCAAGTGAAGCCGAAGCGCTGAAGGACCTGTTGCACTGAGTCAGGGTGATGGTGTGTCGTGCTCTGTCCCGGATGATCTGCAAGCCAAGATAGCTGCGCAGCTCACCCAGGTCTGTGCACGTGTATCTCTTCTGCAGCTCCGACTTCACGTGGGTGAGAGCCTTAGTGTCAGCAGTGGCAAAAACCAAGTCGTTGACGTACACGAGGATGTAGAACGGCGGAAGCGAAGTGTCATCGCGGAGAAACAACGACGGGTCTGCAGTCGTAGGAGCAAGCCCAAGTGCCGTAAGTGTCGTCCTCAGTGTGTCGTGCCACTCTCGAGGCGCTTGACGGAGACTGTAGACTGGCCGTCGAAGGGTCCACTGGGTACCTGCAGGAAACGACCCAGTGAAGCCAAGTGGACGGCGCAGCCAGATCTCCTCGTGTAGGTTGCCCTGTAAGAAAGCTGCGCTGAAGTCAAGAGAGTGAAGGTCGTAGTCATGCTGTGCAGCAGCACCCAAAGAATGGTCATTTTCGGGGTAGGGGAGAAGGTTTGGAAGAAGTCAACTCCCTTTCGCTGACTGAAGCCTCGTGCAACGTAATGAGCCTTGAAGACGGGCGGAGAACCCGGCGGCCGCTTCACCCTGAATATCCTCATGCCATCGACTACGTTCACCCCAGGAGGGGGAACAACGTCGACGTAGGTGCTTGTGGGCTTCCATGATGCCATCTCTGCGTCCATGGCTTTCTGCCACTGAGAGGAGTACTCACCCGCAGTCGCCTTAGTGTAAGAGCGCGGGGTCGAGATGTCTGGTGCATCCGGGTCTCCCTCAGGGGCAAGTAGCATGGCCATGAGATGAGGTGCAGCGGCTGCAAGACACTCAAAGTTAGTGCCTGTGCTCAAGGACGTCCGTGCCAAGAGCACACTCACCCCCGACGGACGGAGGACAGACAGACTTAGACTCAGCAACAAGACTAGCGGCGTAGTCAAGACGACAGGCAGCAGCAAAGTTAACAAGCTCAGGGACCAAGGCAGACGCAACATCAGACTCAAACGAAGGGTCAGTGACAGCAGTGGCTAAGAGACGCGTAACATTAGGACTGGCAGCACAAACCAGGTTAGACTCAGGGTCCGGAACGTGCAGAAGGGAGGACGAAGGAGGAGACGGCAGGGGAACACGTTGTGGAACAGAGGAAGGATGAAGTGCCATAGTGTGCGTGCCAGGGACAGGAGGAGGATGCTCATGAGGAACACGACGACTCGTGCGACCAGAGCGAACAGGCGAGGCAAGACGAGACGCAGGCTCACGACGCTTAGTAAGACCTCCTGTCTGCTCAGTATATGCAGAGGGAGCAAGCAATGGGGAGCCTGGCTGTAAGGGGAGATTAGTAGTAGACGGGAGACTAAGAACCTGGCAAAGCACCGAGCCAGGCGGCGGCAGAGACGATGGTGACGGCGGAGCGAAGAATAGATGTGGTGGTGTAGCACCACCAGTACCAGCTCCTCCAGCACCAGCACCTCCAGTACTATTACCAGCAGCTCTAGGGTCTCCAACAGCTCTTGAAACTCCACCTCCAGCACCTCCAGCTCCCGGGTCACCAGCTCCAGCGCCTACAGCTCCAGGGCCTCCAGCTCCAGAGTCCGCAGTACCACCAGCCTAGGCCGCGCCAGTACGACCAGCTCCCCCAGGACGAGCACTTCCAAGACTAGCAGTGCCAACTCCACGAGCACCACCAGTACCTCTAGTACGAGCACCTCCGGGACTAGCAGCTCCAGCACCTCGAGTAGCAGCACCACCACCAGCTCCAGCAGCTCTAGAGACTCCACTACCTCTAGCACCTCCAGCACTAGCAGCACCACCAGCTCCGCCACCAGCACGAGCACCCCCGGGACCAGCAGTGTCAGCACCACCAGCACCTCTAGGACCAGCAGCTCTAGGGCCTCCAGCTCCAGCAGCGCCACGCCGAAGGCTAGAGTACTGAGCGTACCTCTCGCGCAAATGCTGTGGTGAGAGAGGCTCCCGTAGTGTAGACGTAGGACCTCTAGGCTCAGCACCCCCAGGCTCCGTACGCTTAGGCTCAGCACCTCCAGGCTCCACACTCTCAAACGCAGCACCCCCGGGCTCCGCACTCGCAGGCTCAAAACCTCCAGGCTCCCCACGCTTAGGCTCCGCAACCGCAGGTTCAGCACCCCCAGGCTCCTCACGTATAGGCTCAGCACCCCCAGGCTCCGCACACTCAGGCTCAGCACCCGCAGGCTCAGCACCCCTAGCAGCACCAGAGTCACCAGTGACCTTGACAGGCTCAACCAAGGGGAGTGGGTCTACCTGAGACACACCTGAAGGAGCAGGACCCTGAGGGGGGAGGGGGAGGGGGAGGGGCAGTGCGTTAGGGGAAGAGGCAATAAAAAGGAACCAACTCATCAAACGCGACGTCCTCAGAGGATAGAACACGATGCGAGGTGGGGTGGTAAAACTGCCAACCAGGCGCGTCAGGGGGAAAACCAAGGAAGACACAGGGAACGGCACGGGCGGAGAGTTTCTCCGTGAAGGTATCGCAGACAAAGGCACGAGATGCCCAGACCCATAACACTGATGCATCACCAACCTCTCCCGTCCAACGCAGTGTAGGCGAGGTCTCCGGCAAGGAGACACCGGGCCAGAGGTTGAGCTGATGCGCAGCATACCGGACCGCAAACGGCCACAGAAAATGGGGGGCAGCCGCATGGATCATGGAGGTACGAGCGACCTCCATGACTAAGCCAATGCAGCGCTCAACAACCCCATTCTGCTGCGGAGAGGCCGGAAGCGTGAACGACTGGTTTATGCCCTCCTCCCGACAGAAGTCCCGCAAGAGGTCGGAGGAAAAGTCACCACCTTTGTCTGAGTGCAGACGCAAAACAGGAAGGTCCTGGTGGAACCGCTCGCGGAGTTGGAGACGGACAGCGCGGATCCAAAGGATCAAGACATCAGGGACCTCCCCCTTGCTGCGCAAGGGGAAGACCGTGGTGTAACGCGAGTAGTCGTCAACAACCAGCAGATAGTACCGCTCGCGGCCTTGTCCCTGGACGCGGGCTGGGCCCCACATGTCCATGTGGAGAGTCTGCAAGGGAGCCTCTGTCGGAGGGAACGAGGAGGAGTGAGGAGCGGCGCGCTACCGCCCCTCAACGCAAGGAAGACAGGGAGGGGCAGGCGAGCGCGGGAGGGGGGGCAGAGACCTGGGAAGACTAGAGACAAGGAGATGGGAGTGCATGCCACGGAGGCGTGGCAGGGAGGGGTGACTAAGGCGGTGGTGCCACATGAGGGTCTGGTGCGACAAGGCGTGACACGAGCACGAAGCCGCTAGCTGACTCGACGCGGACGCGGACGCAGATGCAGCTACCTGAGGAGGCACAGTCGTCAGTGGTGCTGTCTCGAAAGAAGCATCGGGAAGCACCTGAGTCAAGCGTGAAGGTGTGCAAGGCCTCAGCAGGCGCAGTACCAAATAGAGCAGTCTCAGCAGCACCTAGAGCAGACTCACTAGCACCTAGAGCAGCAGACTCTATACCCGGGTCGGGCGGCACACACAAGTAACAGTCACCCTCAGCACTAACAGTCAATGCATACATGGCAGCAAGAATAGCATCATGGTCAAGAGCAAGGATATCTACATCGCGCTTGAGCAAGTCTGCCCAGCGGGGAAGCTCAGGTGCATCAGGAAACAGTGTGCGCCATGCAATGATGAGAAGCTACGGTACTCGGTGTGAAACTTCCCGCAGGGCTGACCAGCGCGGGAACCTGTGCGAATGACATACGGGCAGCGGACAATACCCCCAGCCGCCCCACGCTGAGCATACCAATCACGGAATTGCTGAGGTGTAAGGGTCTCACGCGGACGCTGTCGTAGCTGCTGCTGCCTCTGACCCCCACCAGAGCCTCCCCTCTAAAAGGCTCCACCCCGACCGCCACCACTGCCGCCGCCACTGCTCCCACTGCCGCCACTACCGCCGCTGCTGCCTCCACCCCCACCACTCCCACTGCTGCCGCCTCCGCCGCCTCCACTCCCGCCACTACTCCCACCGCCACCTCCGCCACCTCCACCACCCCTGTCGCCTCCACCATGTTGGTGCAACCCTACGGTTTGCACTCGGCTTGTTGTCCGTGTGCGTGCATGTGTGTGTGTATGGAATGGTATGAGGGCATGGGATAATATATATTTCATGCTTATAATTGTGTGTTAATGCACCTCAAGATATTGAAGATAGTTACATTACTTTGTGTAGTGTAACATTTCACTTGGTGTAGGCCCTAGTGAAGGGTAGTTTCGAGACCCTTCGTGGTTGGGGACAGTGTGGCACTGTTCCACATCACTGTACCTTGGCTCTTGGGGTTTGTAGGAGCTGGGAGTCATTCCCAACTCGTAACTCTTCCTAACTCTTCCTATCTTGTGTTCTAAGGCTATGTTGCTGCCATAGTGCCGTTCGTTCAAACCGACGCTGTGTCGTCAGTTCTTAATGAAAGGGTGCAATCTTAATTGCCTTTTGTAGGCGACGTTAAGGCGCTCTAGATCCAAGTTGAATGAAGTTATTTGAAGTTGTGAGCAGATCGCTATGAACGTTTGAAGCCGCTATGCAGAAATCCGACTGTGCACTCTATCCTTCTTTTTAAGCACATTGGAGCCTAATGTGACTATAACAAGTAGTATCAGAGACCCTTGGAGAAGTTTTGACAATGGCTGGACCTGAGGTAAGGGGTGGCAGAGGTGCTGGTGGCAGTGGAGAAGCCCAAGCTCAAGGCCAACCCTGTGACTCAGCCATGGCGCCCGTGCAACCAAGTGTTGGCCCATCTAGGGACGAGCCTAGAGTGTTTGGCCTTGACAAGTTCAACGGTTACAACTTTGCTGAGTGGTCCTTCAGAATGGAGAACGTGTTTGATCACTATGACCTGCTGGAGGTGATGGAAGGAACGGAGAAGCGCCCCGAGAACGACCCGAAGAAGAGCCCGTGGGTGCGGAAGAGCGCACAAGGCTACCTCCTACTAGGGCAAGCGTTGGGGAGCAGCCAGATCCATCACATCAAGCCTTTCCGGCGTGAACCAGAGAAGGGACCAAAGGCATGGGCTGCTCTCAAGGGTGTACACGCTCCTGCAACAGCAGCGGTAGCTGTGGTGTTGGAACGGCAAATGGCGACACTACGAATTGAAGAGGATGAAGCGGTTGAAGAAGGGGTGCAGAAATTCTTCGACTTGTTGACTCGGCTTGAAGGAGCTGATTTGAACTATAGTGAGCTCCAAAAGAAGACCAAGTTGCTGGCCCTACTCCCTGAGTCATGGTCCTCGCTCATCATCAACTTGAATCACGACTTGCCCCGCCTCTCGCTTGAAGACGTGAAGCGAGCTATCCTTCAAGAGGATTTCCGCCGCCGTGAGTTGGCGAGTGCGGATGGCGCTGGGGCAGCGAGCATCGGCCGTCGATATGGTCGAGGAAGAGGTAGAGGACGAGGGGGAGGAAGTTTTGGTAGCAGCAACTTCGGCGGAGGCCGCGGGAGTGGCGGTTACGGCAGCGACGACAAGAGCTACGGACGCGGTCGCGGCCGATTCGACGGCGAGTGTCACTATTGCCACAAGAGCGGACACATGTGGCGCGACTGCTACAAACTCCCTGATGGTTGGACCCCTGCTCAAGGCCAAGAGGGCAGAGGAGCAGGAGGAGGGAGAGGACGAGGCTGTGGAGGCCGTGGCGGTCGCGGTGGCGGAGCTGCAAACATGAAGAGCGGTGACAACGACAAGGACCCGAGCGACGATCGATACCCGGGTCTATTCTACTCCGTGTTGACGCAAGTACTGGCTGGTCCAGAGAAGGATGAAGGCTTTAAGGAGCCAGCAGCTGTGGGGAAGGTGACCCTACACCCCCTGGACTATTGGGGAATTGATAGTGGCGCTACCTATAGCACGACACCTCGCCCGGACTTGCTCACCGAACTCGAGCCGTCACCGGTGAAGCATGTCACATCGGCTTTGGGGCAGCGAGCAGAGGTGAAAGGCATGGGAAAGGCCATGTTCAAGGGTGCTGATGGGAAGATGGTGGGCCTCAAGAATGTGCTTTGGGTGCCCAGCCTTGCTGCAAACCTGATTTCTGTGCGGCGGTTGGCAAAGGCTGGCATGGACACGAACTCGAAGGGAGCCAAGACCTACACCGCAAGGCTTGGCGATCGAATTCTTTGGGACCTTCATGAGGACAGGGATGTCTACAACGAGATGTGGCAGATCCCAGTGGTCCCTATGCCTAAGGAGAGGCAAGTGGCAGCAAGCATCAGCACCAAGGATGGAGCGGTTGGTAGCGACGATGGCGCGAACGGTCGCGCTAAGGAGAATGAGCTCAAGAAGAGCAAACCTGAAGGGACCAGCAAGTTCAGTGAACCTAAGGAGAGTGGTGCAGCAATCAACGAGCAGCAAAAGGGTGAGGAGAACCCCGAGGCAGCAGCGGAGGAGGACTACGGAGAGAGTATGTGGGGCGCTATTGCGAACGCGGCATTCTCCAATCCAACTTCGGCTACGGGAGAGTGTGATTGGCTCACCTTGCATCGGCGCATGGGGCATATGGCCCTACCCATCTTGCAGCAGCTAGTGAAGAATGAGATGGTTGCTGGCATACGTGTAAAGGGGGAGCCCAATGAGGTACTTGGCTGCCCGACGTGCATGCAAGACAAGTTCACCCGATTCCCGTTCTCTAGTTCGGAGGCGACGGCTAAGGCACCGCTTGATGAGGTGGTGATGGACGTGGTGGGCCCCCTGAAGCTTGGAGCTGCTGGAGCTGAGTATTTTCTCACCATTGTCGACGTCTACACTCGCATGACTTGGGTGTATGTGCTGGCCAAGAAGAGTGACGTGGCTGAAATGTTGAAGTCGGATTGGTTCCCGATGGTGGAGCGGCAACAAGACCGTCTAGTCAAGTCAATCCGCACCGATCAAGGGGGAGAGTTCCTGAGCAAGCACTTTGGGTTGTGGCTGAAGAAGAATGGTATTCGGCACTCCCTCACCATGCCATACTCACCTGCAATGAACGGCATCGCCGAGCGAGCGAACCGCACAATCACGGAGGCGGCACGCGGGTTGCTCATTGAAGCCGGGCTACCTGACTATTTCTGGCCTGATGCGGTGCGGAGTGCGTGTGTGGCCAAGAACAGAGCCTTGACTCATGTGGGAGCAGACAAATGGGTGCCCTATGTGGAGTGGCTAGGAAGGAAGCCAAAGGTGGATATGCTTCGGGTGTTCGGGTGCATGTGCATGGCGCTCGTGCCTAAGCATCTTCGGCACAACAAGCTTGGTGCCAAGGCGGTGTGGGCCGTGCACTTGGGCATGGCTCAAAACAGCAAGGGATGGCTCCTTTGGGACCCATTCACCAAGAAGTTCTTGGTGAGCAGGGACTGCAAGTTCATGGAGAACTTCATGTACAAAGATTGGAAGGCGGAGAATGAGGCGAAGATAGGCGTGCGGTTTGGGGAGGTGAAGAGTTCCGGTTTGGAGCATGTGGAGCTGCCTTTGGAGCTGAGCAGCGGCAGCACAACCACGAGGCAATCCTCCCTTGTGAATGGGGGAGAGGAGGCCAATGATGCAGAGGAAGAAGAGGAGGAGGTGCAGCAAGTGAGCGAGCGTGCACCGTCACTCCCTTCCCGTACTACGAGTGCTCCACGGATTCGAGCCACACCGCAGCAACGCCAAGGCCTTCAAGTCCCTGCAGCTGAGGAGGAAGGAAGGGGGAAGAGGAGAGCTCAACCCCCTAATAGGCTGACCTATGATGCGCCGGGAAAGCAGGGCAAGACAGCCCTGGCCGGAGCGGCAATGATGGTCGGAGACGACGAGGAGAGTGACTACGAGGAGTGTGCCTTCGCGTTCTTCTCTCCGGTGGAGATGCCGGGAGAACCAGCAACTCTCAAGGAGGCTTTGGAGAGTAGTGATGCTGAGGAGTGGAAGAAGGCCATGGAGAGTGAGCTGAAGAGCATCAAGGAGAATGACACGTTTGAATTGGTGGAGCTACCGGAGGGGCGTACGGCGATAACGTCCAAGTGGCTCTTCAAAATCAAGTCGGATGCCGACGGCAAGATCGAGCGCTACAATTCTAGGCTTGTAGCCAAGGGGTACCAGCAGAAGGAGAAGGTGGACTTTAAGGAGCTGTTTGCCCCTGTGGTGAAGCCGACGACGCTGCGAACCCTATTCGCGGGAGCCGCCATCAAAGGATGGGTAGTAAAACAAATGGACATCGTAATGACATTCCTTAACGGCATCCTTGAGGAGGAGATTTTTATGGCACTGCCAGAGGGGTTTGATGATGGTAGTGGCAGAGTGTGGAAGCTGAAGAAGGCCCTCTATGGGCTGAAGCAGGCCCCTAGGCAATGGTACATGAAGCTGCGCGAAGTGTTGGAGGAGATCGGCTTCACTCCCTCAACGGCCGATCACTCCTTGTTCATGCTTGGCGAGGGGGAGCAGAGGAGCTTCATGGTGGTTTATGTGGATGACATTCTTATATTCTCACCCTCCTCTGACCTTGTGAAGGACGTGATGCTAAAGCTGCATGACAAGTTCAAGTGCAAGTCTCTTGGTGACGTGAACTTCTACCTTGGGCTCCACATCGAACGAGACGTGGAGAAGCGGAGCATGCGAGTGCACCAACGGAAGTACCTGGAGGCGTTGGCTGCCAACTTCGGCTAGAGTGAAGGTCATGTGGCTACTCCCTTTCCCTCTGGGTTCAAGTGTGTGAAGGGACCAGAGGAGGAGAGCGTTTGTGAAGAGGAGAGGCGCCGTTTTCACTCGTTGGTGGGCAGCCTCATGTATGCGGCGGTAAACACCCGACCGGACGTCGCGTTTGCTACCGGGCAGCTGGCTAGGGTTGTGCAATGCCCTAATGAGGAGCAGGTAGCAGCTGGAATGAGGGTGGCCAAGTATCTTGGCCAAACACCGACCGTTGGGCTGCAATACTCGGCGGCGGCACAAAGGCGCCAAAAGGGCGCGGATGGTGTTGAACCCGGGCGTTTGTTCCTCACCGCCTACTCGGATGCTTCATATGCATCGGAACCAGAGGACATGACAAGTGTGGGGGGCTTCATATGCTGTGTTGGTGGAGGCCC